AGGGCTGGCGTTGGCGCTCGGTGCCGGGGAGGTCGGGCTGGGGCCGGGGGGTTCCCGCCGGAGGGGTGGTACGGCCTCTCGGCGCCCTGGGCAGCGGGGGCGCGCCTCACGCTGCCCGTGCGAAACACGGTGGGGCGGCTTTAATCTGCTCGTGGGAAATGCTGCCCGCGTCTGTGCGGGGTGGCTGTCGGGGCCGGCCTGGCCACAACGGGTGGAGGGGTTAGGTGTGGGAGGGCAGGGCCGCTTCTCTGCCAGCACGGCTTCGGCACCCGGCGGTGTGAGAGGCTCTGCCTTGAGCTTAGGTTGCTTGTAGCGGGGGGAATGCCAGTCGTGTTTGTTAACGTGCTGTGAGGAGAGGAGTAAAATCCAACGGATGAGGCTTTCTCTTGTAGAGTAGACTAACGTGCATCTCTAAAGAGCAAGGATAAAGTGTTACTGAAACAAAAGCTATAAAAAATCTCACAACTCTGCATTGCTTTAGAATAACTGGTTTTCAATCATATCTTTGATGGTTTAGTTGAGAAAAATTCCCAAAGTGTGATAGACAATGTATATGAAAGTGGTAAGTTACCTTTAGCTCGGTGGATCTTTTGTTAAATGAATGCAAGGTGTATTAAGATGGAAAGCCTTCCCAAATCCCACAGTTAAAACATTCAGTGAAAATACCAAGGCCAAAGCCAGCCCCCAGGCTTTCTCTTTTCTCCCACAGTTAATTCAGCGATTTGCATACAGGGTACAATGAAACATAAGTAGTGTTAAGTTGTGTTCCATATTTTGTGGCAACTTTGTCATTTGCGCATATGCCGCTTGCTGTGATGGCAGCGGTAAATGTAGTCTTTCATCTTTCATTTTACATATTATTTTCATTCATTTGATTTTGAACCTGCAAATTGCACAACAAAAATTATCAAAAGTTACCTTTCTAGCTAAGTTTTATCTTAATCATATTTTTAACATGCTGAAAATGTTACTGAAATGTTGTTAAGTATTGACTGAAGGTGAAGCATGATTATGAAAACTGAAGACCATCCATTGCTACTGATAAAAGTATTTCTAGTCAAATAATATCTGCCCAATGGTATAATACTACTTTTTCTGCAAAGGTCTTTAGATTTGTTTAATGTAATAATCTTTGGCCAAACATGTTTAACTTAACTTAGTCATGGTTTGGTTGTTTTGGGGGTTTTTTTGTTTGTTTGGGGTTTTTTTGGAAAAGCAGCCAAATATTTTTCCTTGGAGGAAATAACAGAGAGAATACTAGCATGCTATAGGAGGTTTTCTATTTAGCACTGTAGGATCTGAAACATTCTGCGTCTTCTAAACAGTGACTACGTACTTTATATGCTGCTTTTCCATCTAAGTTAACTGATCCTGGTATTACTAATTAATTAACCTGTGTGGTGCTCTTACTGAGTTTTCCTGTGGTGGGGGCACAGAAAGGTGTTAGTTAAAAGTGTGTGTGAAAATAATTGAGCTATCTTGACTAGCTTTAGCAAAACACCAAGCCCAGACTGACTGCAATATTACAGCTGTGCCTAAAAGCCTATTAGGCTGCGGTTCTTTTGTGCTAAGTACTCTGCCCATAATGAACAATTTATAATCTGGAAGGAAAGATGATGAATAACTGAAGCAAACTGCATAGATTTTTTTTTTATTTTTGCACAGGCTGCTCTGTGTGTCTAGTCACACACATAACAAAATAAGTGTTGACAATAATTGCCATTATTGTAACATTTAGATTTGACATCTTTTATGTCGGATGCTAATTCTGAGAAGACTGGAGTTCACGTTGCCCACAGGAATTCTGCATGTGGTCACAGTTATGTACAAGCGTTGTATCCTTGATTTAAAAAAGTGTTTCCGTTAGAAATTACAGGTAAAACTGTTATTAGGAAAAATGCCTTCAGTTTCATAACATGTATTACAAAAAGGGTGAGCATTCTTAATGTCTGTGGACTATAAATAAAGTTTACCTCATGTTTCCAGTTTCCATTTTGAACTTCTTAAACTATTCTCCCAGATGTGTGTTTCTTTTTCTAAGATATCAGCAGAAGACAAATAGTTGTTTATGTACATAGAGAGACTTATTTCTGCATTAATACTTGCTTTTGGCATGGCAGAGTGTTTAAGAACCTATTGGACTGCCTCGTCAGCATTTACTCAGTGGCTTCTATGAGAGATGGATTCAGCAAAGCGCTTTTAGGAGCAGTGTCGTACGTACAGTCCTAAGCTGTTGTCTGCTTCCTGTTTCTCAGTTTTGGATGGTGTACTGGGACGTCTCAGGAAAAAGCTGGCTGAAATGTTATCTGGCTAGGACAGGGATCTTGTTTGTAATGTAGAGGGAAATTTTGTTGGTAAAATCAGGAGGTTAACTTTTTCACTTGCTCACTGAGTTTTCCTGGAATTTTACATGCTAGCAAAATGTAACTTTTTTGCTCATTTGTTTTTCTCTGGACTTTGTTCCACCTGTCTGTACCTTGCAGTGCCACCATATGCCAAGAACTGCACTACTTCCTGATTCTCTTCAGGTTCAGGTCAATGCAATAGTTTTGATGAATAACCCCCCAATCCAGTGCACACCGAAAAGGTAGCTCATTGTTTTTTCTTTTCATGGGCTCACAGATAAGACCAATTTTTCTGCTTTTCAGAAAGTGTCAAAAGCTGTAAAATTTTCTTCTAATGGTTGGTTATTTCCTACCCTTGAATATTTTGTAGTGCCTGCTGAAATCAAAAGAGGTAATCCTATACTTCAAGAGAATTGTATCAAGTATTATCTCTTCATTACTTTTTGTAGTTTAGAGAAGGAATTCTATGGATATGGAATTCTGATAATTTTTCCTATTAATTCCTATAGTACTTTTCAAAATGACAAACAGTTGCTGTATGTGGCAGTTATTAATGATTCCAATGAGAATATCCTACTTGGACCTATCAAGGTGGTGTTCTTCTCTCTCACTGTTGATTACAACTCTGGGGGATCAACTTACTTGAAATTGATGCGGGCAGAAATTACTCATATCACAAGCCTCAGCCCTGGGAGTCCTGTCGGCTGCTTCTGACTGGGTGGTAGTGCGGGAGACAAACCAGTTTTCACAGGAGCTCTTAATGAGATCTGCTAGATTTTAGCCTGAATTGCGGGGGTTTTTTGAAAGTCGGTGCTTTCCCAATTTTTTTTCCAGGAAGGAATTTTAGTTACCCTATGGCAGCAAAATTGCCTCAAAGACACACAGGTTCCTTATTTTATCTGAAAAAAACAGAGAGGGATACCTCACTGAAGATCTACCTGATACAAATACATGGAGAAATTGTGTTCCATGAGCTTGACTAATTAGATATGTTTCTGAGAAACAGAAAGAATCAACTGAAAAATCTAGTAATCTAGATAAATTTGTCATCACCAACCGTGATTGCTTAATCAGATTTATGAATTCCATACGCTTCCTATGATGGCAACAGGAAAGGAACTTAAGAGCTCCCTTTGGCCTAGCTCAAGGTTGCCCAGCTTAAGACTCTTTGTAACACTTTGGTTGAAGATTGGGGTGATGGTTTTGCAATATATACAGATGATTTTTAGCCACCAGATTTTTGGTCTTGCCTCTGCATGAAGAGCAGAAACAAAGCTGTTGACACCAAAAGATAAAAAGCTATTTTTACTATACAGTGTAAATTAATTATTGCAGCTAATTCAGTGGTAGTCTGGCTATTTGGCAGATTTATGTCATTGTGGACATGGAATTCATAAGTCTAGTCTTTCTCACCAAAGAGAAGGGTGCTACACTGTAAAATTAGGAAAGTACAAAGTTGGAGAAAGTCCTGACTTCTGAAGAGTTCCCCAACTGCATCTAAGTGTTTTAGTTGTGAGACCGTACTAGAGAGAGAACTTAATAGACTATGGTAAGTCTATCTTATCTTCTTTAAGTAAAAGATCAAATCTTTTGTTAAACAGTTAAATTACTGTCTATAAAGAATAAATAGTATGTGCAACATTTTAAAATTCTGCAAGAAAATTTAGCCTGAGAGTCCAGGTGGGTTTGTGGTTTTGGTTGTACTAGACTAAAGATTCATCATGTCAATTTTATTAGGTTTATCTACTAATCCTTGTATATTGGCTGAAACCTAGCTGGAAATGCCAGAGGTCAACATCAAGATACAAATTATGTTCACATTTCTGAATTCAATCAAACAAATTGGTAGGTGTGAGAGTTTACTTGTATTAGAGCCTAGGTGGCACAGTGGCTTAAGGTACCAGCGTTCCATTTTTACATAATTTGGACTCGTATTGTGGAAGAGTTCAGGAGTGGAAATGAGTCTGATGTAGTTCTGCATAGCTAACTGGCATGGTTCAGAACTGCTGACAGTTTGTTCTGGAGGGCCTCGGGGCTTACGTAGACATGGATGTTGTTTGCTACTGGCAAGCTCTGAGGTGAAAGGCTGCAAACCACCTTCCCACAGTTCAGCAAGAAATCCCATATGTTTTTTTTCACATCAGAAGTAAAATGGGACAAATTTCCACTGTTTTTTTTTTTGGCTAGTGTTCCGAGTTCCTTGATGCACACTTTTTTTGATTGTACTACATTACAGTCCTGAAGGATAGCAGGGATGTCTGGTTGCTGCAAAGAAAACAGGTCCAGTTCTGAACACTATCATGTCATTCAAGAGGGAATCGGGACATCTCTGTGCTAGAGAAGTTACCAGGCTAATGAGATCCTAAGCGCTGCTAGCAGTGTTCAGCTCTCCTGTTGCATGTCAGTGCAACCCTATCCTTCTGCTGTGTTTGTTGTATAACAAGGTGTAGTGCAACATACATACATTTTACTGACTGTGTGTACTCATGCATCTCTCCCAAAGGAGCTCAAGTAGCTGTCTAGCCAGAAGCTAGTAGCAAATACTCAACTAGCAAGCTGAGGAGGCCTGCATCTCTTGTATTATATATTTATTCCTAGGACATTAATGCGCTGCAGGGCCCTAATCAGCTTCCAGACTCCATTGTATAAACTCTATGTGAACACAGAAGAACAAGGAGCAAGAGGGAAAGGGGCACAGTACACTAATATTTGTATTGGCAGTGCTCATACATCCAATCAACCTCCAACCTCTAATTTTTATCATTGTGAATAATGATGAACTTGCCTCAGCAACTTCATCTTGGAAAGTTTTCATTTCATTAACTGTCCAGTGATTGCTATGTTTTTCATGTACTTCTGTAACTAAATGTTCATAGTAATAAAATTTGAGACTCAACTGTAATTTATACATACCTTGTCTTATAAAAAAGTATCAATTGCAGTAGCAGTTTTTAAGAACAGACTGTCAGTGGTAAACCCTGAGCTGGAAATAATGCTTTATACAGTCTATGTGGAGCCTCTTTCTAGTATGTATCTTAAAACATTCTTTTAGCTATAGAATCACAGCTATCAAATGTAACCAGCTGTTCAGATCTTTGTATCACGCCCTTCAGTATGTACGTTCAGTTATCCTCAACTAGCTTGGGCTTTTCTCCATTAAACTTTATCTAGTTGGCCTGAGAGATAAGCCTATAGAATAAGTTACAAAGCAGCTAAACCTTTTTATTAGACACTCTCTCCCTTTGTGGGAGGTAAGGAACATCGACTCCTGGGCTTGCCTGGAGAAGGTAAAGCCTGCAGAGTAAAGGAGCTGTAGGTTCAGTTCACATCATTACTCTCCGTTCCCTCTTTGGGTGGAAGTATCTCCTAAAGGATTGGTATATACTCTGTGACACTGCACATAGAGTACTGCACATTCTCAGGCATGTGCTTCTCATATTCATTAGAGTCACTGAAAGCATTTCTTGACTCCATTCTTGATGATCTTCCCAATTAAGTGTATGTTACTGAGTAAATAGTGCAAATAATTTGACTGTTTTTGGCTTTTCCATTATGTTATAATGGAAACCTTCAGGTTTGTTTTAGAAGTGACTAATTTAATAGAAGGATGTAACACCTAGTGTCAGGTGAAGGGTGCTTTTTTCCGAGTCATTTCCAAAGTGACCTAGAAATCTGATAATTAAATCTCAATAGGCATTATAATGATAGAAAACTAATACGATATTATGTGTAATACTGGACATAATTATGTGTTTACTGGACGTAATCAAATAAGCAATAATTTGAAGAGTAAACTTCCTTTACCGGGAGGCACATGGAAAGTGTGATGAAAACACTGTGAATCAAATAGCTTTCATAATCAGTCCAGTAAAAAGGATTACTAAGATTTCTATGTTCTTGTACTACACAACCTTTCTTAACCAGCTGGACAGACCCATTTGTACATTCCTCAAGCATTCAGGAAAGATCTACCTTTTTCTCCAAGGTTTTCTTTTCAAGGGTAAGGTTCTTCACTTTTTCTTGCAGTTCAATAATAGTTTCATTCCTCCTGTTATGTTCAGCGGTAGAAGGATGATCTGTGTCCTAGTGAGTGTTACAGTGGGAAAAATTAACAGTGTTTGAACAGACGGAGAATGAAAATTTAGCACAGGGTTCATCACTGCCTTTCCCTAGAGTACACCACAGGGTAACTGTGGTGTCTTGACCAAGACCAGCTATGACAAATGGCAAAGAGAATTACTAGGAGAAACTGGAACACTCCAGTCGTCTTAAGATCCTGAGCACATAAGCTACTCATAGGTAATTAAGATTGTACTTATTTCATAGATTTGCTTTCCGAGTATTAAAATACAGAATATATTATGAAACCTAGCATTGTGTGTTTGAGGCCTTCTGAGCCTCTATTAAGATGTGTTTAGTCATGTTAGTAAGGGAAAAGAATCCAAGAGCAGGCCAGTGTAATTTGTTAGATGTGGTGAAAGAAAAATTGTATTTTAAGCCCAAAGTCTGTAGAATAGGGAAGTAAAATATAATCAGTAAGAGAACATGTACACGTAATTACATATGGAATAATCAATAAATAAGAAAACCATCTGTGGCTATGTTACCAGTGTTAAAGAAAGGAGAGAAAAAAAAAAAGGAAAACTGAAGATTCAATTAATTCCTAGACATTACACTTGAAACATGAATGAAACATGAACAAAGCAGATCTGTTTTCTTTGTAGGATGGCTTTATGTACTGTTATTGGTACATTCAAATTTGAACAATATGTTTTGGATCTGAACACTGTTTTCTTTCCCTGCTCAATGAAGGAGCAAAGCTCCTTCAACAAGGGGGGAAAAAAAAGTTTTTTACCTGTAAGAATCAAGCAGTTTCTTTACTACCTATTCAGTTTTGCAACTAAGCCCAACCATGTTGTGTTTCATTCTTTTATTTTGTCGTGGCTCTATTTTTCACACAATTTATATAAAAATTTAGCGTATCAAATCAATAAATGATCTAATAAATGAAGGGGTAAAATAACATATCTAACCTTTGTCAGATGCACCAGGAGTGTTATCAAACATTATGAAACGATGATACAAGGATCATCAGCTGGAGGAGATGCTGACTTTTCAGAATCACCGTGACTCCTGGCAGAACCTGTTGCTGTCACCACCTCACCCAGGTACTGTGGTTCTGTGCCATGGTTGGTGGGACGCTGCCTGTGCTGGGGTCACCCTCAGCTTCTGGCCCATCTTCCCTTGTGGATCAGCCCTATTCCTGCTGCACGCTCCCTGACAGTCAGCTTGGGCTTTCTTGAGCCCTGAACTGAGTACCATGGGACCTTGCCCCCAGGGTTCCCTGATGGTTCCTAGTAAATCTCCAAATTTTTGCTGAAGACTGCAGGCAGGCTACAAAAGTAGATCACAGCCCTACAGGCTTCTGCATCTGAAGCGACCCCTGCCTCCAGGTCGCTGAGCTCTTTAATGGGGAATGGGTGAGGGTATGGGAGTTTATAGATCAGATGTGGCTAACTTCTGTCATTTAGCCAACAGTCACTATCAGCTCAGCAGTAATTTGCTGGCTCTCAGGAGCCTCAGATTCTACCTGGATGTCAGTAACAAGGCGAATACTGCAGAGGTCTGTCACAGGACCAATCTGATATTTTTATCAATGATTTGGAGGGGGCGAAAGTGCTTATAAGGTTTGCAGATGGTGCCAAATCAGGTGGCAGGGTGGGGGGCCTGGCGGATACGCTTGAGCACAGGGCTGCCACCCAGAGGGACCTAGGCAAGCTGCCGGAATAAGCCAACAGGAACCTCACGAAATTCAACAGAGACAGAGTCCTGCATCAGGGAAAGTAAGAGCCTCGGTCAACAGAACAGGCTGGGGACTGACTGGCCAGGGAGAAGCTTCTGCTGAGAAGGACCTGGGAGGTCCTTGTAGATGCTAAGCTGCCATGAGCCAGCAGCATGAAAGGCCAAGAGCATCCCGGGCTATATCAAGAGGAGCACAGCCAGCAGATCAAGGTGAGTGACTATTACCTCTCTAATCAGTGTTAGAGTGCATCTAGAATACTGCGTCCAGTCTTGAACCTCTCCAACCCAGGGAAGATACAGACAAAACTGTATCTAGAAGCTTCTGCAAAGTTGAAGAAAGAGATAAGGTGTCAAACTTTGCAACGTTTACATTCCGATCCTTTCATTCCTTTTCCCCTTGAAGAAGTGAAAAAAGGCCATTATCATAACTTTTTATTCCCTCATTTATTTCAAATAATAAATTGCAAAGTGTTTGATCACTACTTGAAATTAGATGATTGCATAAATCTTTGTATAAGACAAAATTCCACACTGGGACTCAAGTCCAGTAAAGGACTTAAGAGGAGTGCTATCTTAACTTAAAAGTTCTTGAAGAGACACACAAGTTTATATACTTTCCTGGTTCTCAACTTCTTGGTCAGAACCCTCAGATTGAGTCAGTGGAAGTTTGTCCCAAGAAGGGAAGAACTGCTGCACATGGCAACTAGAAACTCTATCTGCTATAGATACTTACGATGCTTACAGTGTTGTATCTGTCTGAATTATACCTCAGCTGTCTGTGATTCTCTGACTTTATCATATCTCTTTTTCCATCTGGCAGTTTCAAGCTGCAGGATGCGGTTTTGTTCTTGGTCTTTCACTCTCTGTTGCTGAAGCTTTTGGTTCTCTCTTCTGAACTCACAAATCTGCTGTTGCATTTTTTTCATCTCAGCTTGTTTGTTTTCAAGTCCTGCTTGCAGGATTTTAAGCTGAGCAGCTAGCCTGTTATATTTGGATCACAGCCATTGGCTTTCTGCCAACCTGCCATCCTTTTCTCCCTGGAATTTTGTTTGCAAGGATAGGAGCTATTTCTGTGTATTCTCCTTTTCCTCCCTTAGCATATGCAGGGCTGAAGTTACAGTCTTGGCCTCATGTTTCTGCTTTTTTCTGAGATGCTGCAGTTCCCCTATCTTTTTGTCTGTCTTGTATATGGTATGATCCATCTCCAAGCGCTGTCTCCTAAGCCTGGTCTTCAGTTCTGCCTCATGCTTTATTTGAAGGAGATAATATGCAGATTTAAGTTCTTCCACGTGCTTCAGAAGGGCTTTTTTTTTTTTTTTTTCAGTCCCAGCATCCTCAAGACATTTGATAGCACTGAATAAAGTTTCCTGCGTGACCATCAGCCAACTCCTAGCCTCATTTTTCTCCTTTGTGAATTTGCCTTTTGTTTCACTTTGTTCTTCAGTATCCTTCTTTAACTTGTTTACAGTTTTTCCCAGATGCTGTTGCTGGACAGTTTTTGGTTTTAACTCTTGAAAATTGTTCTTCAGAGAAATGGTTTCATAGTAAGAATCATTAATCTGTGTTGGCTGTTTCTTCTGATTCCACTTCATCCTCCTAGTCACATCATCTAGATGTAAATTCCCTTTGTGAAGCAATAGTTTTCCTCTGCCTTTAACCTTCTCCAAAACCATATCACACTGAAGATCCGTGATTTGGGTTTGTTCTTGCTGAGCCTGCTCTAGATCCTTGATGACCCCACTAAAGTTTGTAACTGTCTTCCGAAATGATAATTTTTCTAAACAGCAGTTGGCATATTTTCTTCCACACGCATCTGAGGATGCTTCATAAGGACTTGGACAGGGGCTCCCTGTTCTGTGAGTGGAGAGAACCCCTTTATTGCTTGTATCTCCTTGCTTATATTCTTCTTTGGGAGCAAGTGATATCTCGGAATGCTGGAGTAGAAAGTCCTTAATCAGTTTTCGGCCCTTCCTAGGGGGTCAACTGCATTCTGTCATCAACTAATTAGAAAAATGAGAGTTCACGTGGCTTGACAGTAATCTATTCAGAGAAGGTGGAAAGGCAACTGAGGATAAATTTGAGTAAGCTTCACCCATACTTGTTACAGTACTAGTAGAGTTGTATCATTCTATTGCAAAACAAGAGGTGACACCCTCTGTTCAATTTATACAAACTATTTTTTCACTAACTTCAGTGGAAATTTTCCATCTATGAAGATAAGTCAGTGTGGGCCAGCATTATGAAATGATGAAACTGAAGGAGCCCACCCTTCTACAATGCCTACAGGCCTTGCACCTGCATCAAGCTCCAGTGGAGTGAAAAGTCTAAAGAGTGTAATTGGCCTAACTTACAGTAATCTTTGACCTTAAAGCAAGAATTTAAAAAACCAAGAACTCTAAATTAAACTTGGCCAAACAACTTGATTGTAGAAAATGGAGAAAAAGAAATGTTTACATTAAAGCAGTAAGAAATAAAAGTCTTCCAGTGCTCTATACATTGCTCTATTTACTGGATTTTGAGAAGACTAATAAAAGGGAGATTTTACTTGCTGAAGACAGAGGTAGAAGGCAAAAAAATATGCTTGAAATGCTACTGAATTAGTCTGTTGAAAGGAGTGGGACAGTCAGAATATCATATAGTACCTTACGTAATAGGCCATACAATCTTTTTACTGTATTTCCTAGATACTATAATAAAACTAATAATAAATGGGAGTAGAGTTTGAGCCACCATTTTTAAATGTTTTTAATTTTTTTTTCTTACACTAACTGAAAGAAGTAGAAAATTATAAATAGGAAAAAGCATCTCGCAGATTCTGGTGGAAACTCTCTCAGTACTTCTTTTGTTGTACTGTATTACACTGTTCTTTATACCTCTTTTCACTTCTCTGACTGTATCAGACCTCGTATACATGCTATGTTCTCATGCAAAGAATCAGATGATATACTATCGTTCTCCCTCCAGTTTTTTGGAGGGTCTATCTGTTGTCCAGTGGCTGCCTACCAAAAGAGTGTAATTTGAAAACTGTAATAATTTGTATTTTGTAATAATTATAATTAAACATAATTTAATTTAAAAGTTAATTACAATTAAGAACTTTAATCATTTGTAATCTGAATGGGAACTCCAATGAAAGCGCACTACATTCAGAACTCGGTTAATTCAAGGTGCAACTTCAGCACCTGCATTTGATATTCTTAACACTTCTCTTTTATATTACACATCTGGGAGGTCTAGCACTCACATATAAAATATTGCAATATACATGTTATTTAAAGCACTACTACTAGCTTTATCATAGAGAGGTATTTTCATCATTCAAGCCGCATGAAATCTTACTATGACTTCTTCTGGAGTGGGAGTTTTGCTAGCCGAGTTCAAATTATCCTCTCCAGAAAACTATTTCTCAGTACCAAAACCTGGATATATCTTGAATAGAGAGCCATGGGGTTGAGTGAGAAAATCATAGAATCATTAAGGTTGGAAAAGACCTCTAAGATCATCGAGTCCAACCGTCAACCCAACACCACCATG